AAAAAAAAAAAAAAAAAAAAAAAAAGGGCAATGAGCAGTTGGTAATGGTATGGAGAGAGAGATTGCTGGGGCCAAATGCAATTAATCAACAGTTGAGGTGCACCGATCAAAATTTAGAGTGAAAGCATGAAATGAAGCACTTAATTGCACATAACTACTCAAAATTGCTCTCTGGCACGAAATGGCCCCTCCGGACTCACAGTTAACAAATCGTGTGTCCTACTTAAATGATTATATTTATTGTTTTTCTTTTCTATGGTCCCACTTGTTCCTTATGTTTTCGCTAAATTTGTACCTATAATTTTCTTTTTCGACTAATATACATTATTAACAAGCATTAAATATGAAATATTTGCTTTTAAATGCAAATAATCTGTGGCCGGGATATTGGCTATTGCAAAAATGATTTTTTTTGTTTCTTAACATTATTAAATCATACTATAATTATGTTATATACATACATATAAATATTAATTCTAAAAATATTATTGGAACTGAATTGTTTGCAAACGTCGAAAACAACTCGTCTTGTCTGGTGAGTTGGACTCGTTTAAGAGTCAAACGCGAACACCTAATAGAACTCGTTTATTAAATGAGTCAAATCAAGTCGTATCGTTAATAAATTTTTTATTTTATTTTCAGATTTTTCAAATAAACAATTGAAATAAACATATTTTCGAACAATTCTTTTAAGATTTTAGAGTTATTTGATAATAATCAAATAAATTAACTCGTTTATTAATTCCCTTGTATTGTCTTTTACTATTATTCACAATAGCCCCAATTTCCAATACAGTCAAACGGTGTCGTTTCATATCGCATTTATCCGACCCCAAAAATAACTTCGGGGCCCACTTTCCCTCCATAAGTACCCCTTCACCTTCCTCATCGTTTCCCATTCTCCCCCAGAAACTCCACTTTATCTCTCTAAAAAAGCTCTTTTATCTCACTAACAAAATTCACTGTAGAGAGAGAGAGAGCTAAAAACTAAAAGGAAAAAAAGACAATGTCTGCACCAGTGAATCTGCTCCTCGGCGTAGCCGCCGCCCTCTGCTTTCTCACACTCTGCTCCGCAAGAATCCCCGGCGTCTACTCCGGCGGCCCCTGGGAAACCGCCCACGCCACCTTCTACGGAGGCAGCGACGCCTCCGGCACCATGGGTGAGCCATTTGTGCAGGCGGCGACGCCTCCGACTCCTTCACACGCTTTCATTTTCGTTAATTTTCTGTTTCTTTTTTTTTGTGTGTGCAGGCGGCGCGTGCGGGTACGGAAACCTGTACAGCCAGGGCTACGGCGTGAACACGGCGGCGCTTAGCACGGCGCTCTTCAACAACGGGCTGAGCTGCGGCGCGTGCTTCGAGCTCAAGTGCGACGCTGACCAGGCCGGCAGGTGGTGCCTCCCCGGCAACC